TCACATTGTAAGTACATTTCGCCTTGTATCTTCCATACTTCCCAATTAGGGTTTTTAAGTGTACTGCACTTTTTGGTTTCTCACTGTACTACAAATTATATTTTTTATATAGTTTTGTTGCGAATTTAAAAACACATAATATATTATTTATTATGGTATCAAAATAACATGTCATATTTTGCAAAATTATTCGGTTTTGGGGTGACGAATGTATAAAAGGAAGTCAACGGTAGCTGATTATTCGCAGTTACAATTAATAAAGGAAATTTAACATGACATTTGAAAGATATATACCTTAGAAATGAATTATTGGCTCTTCTTTTTTGTTTTCAAAACATTAAAGGGATAATAAGCGATGTACTTGAACAATTGTTGAAAAAATACAATCGAATGTCAACGGTTTGCTATGATTGTTTAGTTACAACGTAATCAAGAATCATGATATCAGACTTTTAGAACTTATATCTTAAGAGATATTATTTCTATATCAAATTCTCTAATCTATTCATTTTGATTCGAATTTTAAATGAATTAATATGCCATGTGTTGTTTAGGAACATTAATTCACTATTTATAATTATGGTATTAATATAGCATGACATATTTTGCAAAATTAATCGGTTTTGGGATATGAATGTATAATTAGAAGTCAACGATAGTTAATTATTTGTAGTTACAATTAATAAAGAAAATCTAACATTAGACCTCATGGGTTTATACCTTAGAAATGAATTACTGGCTCTCTTCTTTTGTTTTCAAAACATCAAAGAAATAATAAGCGAATTTCAATAGTGTATTAAGATGGTTTTGTTACAACGTAATCAATCAAGAATCATGATATTAGACTTGTAGAATTTATATCCTAAGAGATATTATTTCTACATCAAATTCTCTAATGTATTCACTTTGTTTCACGTTTTAAATGAATTAATATGTCACCTGTTGTTAAGGAATAATAATTCGTTATTTATTATGGTATTAAAATAACATGAAATATTTTGCAAAATTATTCGGTCTGGGATAAGAATGTATAATTAGAAGTCAACGGTAGCTAACTATTCACAGTTGCAATTAATAAAGGAAACTTAACATTAGACTTAACGGGTTTATACCTTGTAAATGAATTATTGGCTATTTTCTTTTTGTTTTCAAAACTTCAAAGAAATAATATGCAAATGTCAATGGTTTGCTACGATTGTAGTGTTCCAACGTAATCAAGAATCATGATATCATAGTTTTAGAATTTATAAACTAAGAGATATTATTCTATATCAAATTCTTTAATGTATTCATTTTATTTCGAGTTTTAAATGAATCAATACGTCACCTGGCATTTAGGAAGAATGACACACTATTTGTTATGGTAAATGACATATTTTGCAAAATTATTCGAATTAGGAGTCAATAGTAGCCGCATATTCATACTTGTAAAATAACAGACATATAACGCTAGACTTTTAGAAATGAATTATTCATTCTCTTCTTTTCGTTTTCAAAAGTTTAAATAAATAACAAGCAATATTGATGTGCTTGAAAAAACAATTGCGAAGAAATATACAATCGAATGTCTATGGTTTGCTACAATTGTTTGGGTACAACGTAATTAATAATCGCAACATTACATTTTTAGAATTTATATCCTAACAAATGAACTCTATGCATAATTCTCTAATGTATTTATTTTGTTTCAAGTTTTAAATGAACTAATACATCACCTACCATTCAAAAAAATAAATAATACGCGACTATTGTAATATAAAAACACCAATTAGGGTTTTTAAGTGTACTTCACTTTTAGGTTTTCCATTGTACTACAAATTATATTTTTTTATGTAGCTTTGTTGCGAATTTAAAAACAAATAATACATTATTTATTATGGTATCAAAATAACATGACATATTTTGCAAAATTATTCTGTTTTGGGGTGATGAATGTATAATGAGAAGTCAATGATAGCTGATTATTCACAGTTACAATTAATAAAGGAAATTTAACGTTAGACTTGAAAGATTTATACCTTAGAAATGAATTATTGGCTCTTCTTTTTGTTTTCAAAACACTAAAGGGATAATAAGCGATGTACTTGAAAAACAATTGTTGAAAAAATACACGGTTTGCTATGATTGTTTAGTTACAACGTAATCAAGAATCATGATATCAGACTTTTAGAATTTATATCATAAGAGATATTATTTCTTTATCGAATTCTCTAATGTATTCATTTTGATTCAAGTTTTAAATGAATTAATACGTCACCTGCTGATTAGGAACAGTAATTCACTATTTATAATTATGGTATTAAAATAGCATGACGTATTTTGCAAAATTATTCAGTTTTGGGATAAGAATGTATAATTAGAAGTCAACGATAGCTAATTATTTGTAGTTACAATTAATAAAGAAAATCTAACATTAGACCTCATGGGTTTATACCTTATAAATGAATTATTGGTTCTCTTCTTTTGTTTTCAAAACATCAAAGAAATAATAAGCGAATTTCAACAGTGTATTAAGATGGTTTGGTTACAATGTAATCAATAAAGAATCATGATATTAGACTTGTAGAATTTATATCCTAAGAGATATTATAACTATATCAAATTCTCTAATGTATTCACTCTGTTTCACGATTTAAATGAATTAATATGTCACCTGTTGTTAAGGAACAATAATTCGTTATTTATTATGGTATTAAAATAAAATGCATGAAATATTTTGCAAAATTATTCTGTTTGGGACAAGAATGTATAATTAGAAGTCAACGGTAACTAACTATTCACAGTTGGTATTAATAAAGGAAACCTAACATTAGACTTAACATGTTTATACATTGTAAATGAATTATCAGCTCTTTCTTTTTTGGTTTTCAAAACTTCAAAGAAATAATAAGCAAATGTCAATGGTTTGCTACGATTGTAGTGTTACAACGTAATCAAAAATCATGATATCATTGTTTAGAATTTATATCCTAAGAAATATTATTTTATATTAAATTATTTAATGTATTCATTTTGTTTCAAGTTTTAAATGAATTAATACGTTACCTGACGTTTAGAAATAATGATACACTATTTGTTATGGTAAATGACATATTTTGCAAAGTTATTCGGTTTTGGGATCAAGAATGTATAATTATGATTCAATAATAGTTACATATTCACACTTGTAAAATAACAGACATATGACGCTAGACTTTTAGAAATGAATTATTCATTTTCTTCTTTTGGTTTTCAAAAGCTTAAATAAATAACAAACAATCTTGATATGCTTGAAAAAAGAATTGCTAAGAAATATACCATCGAATGTCTGCGGTTTACTACGATTGTTTGGGTACAACGTAATCAAGAATCTTAGCATTACAGTTTTAGAATTTATATCCTAAGAAATGAATTCTATGCCTAATTCTCTGATGTATTCATTTTGTTTCAAGTTTTAAATGAACTAATACATCATCAACCGTTCAAAAAAATAAATAATACGCGACTTTTGTAATATAAAAACATCAAATATTTGTGTATTTTTTAGAAAAAAAGAAAAAGAAAGCGAGAGTAGAGGAGATGGAAAACCCATGAAGTGAGAGCAAAACTTACATATTGATTATAACTATGATTTTACCTTCTACGTGTTGCGGCGACAGCAATGAATTTAAAAAGTAGTAGAAACTACGTTGCTACATATTGAAATCAACAAAAATGTATTTTTGTTTCCAAAGGTAACTAAAAATAAGAATGAAAACATAATAGAAATTTACGTTTAAATGTAGACAAACTTGAATTTATACTGACACGTACATAAAAAAAGCAAGTAAGTTTTGTGTTTTTTTTTAATTAACGACAAAAGTTCTAAATTTATGTCGAAGCGTTGACTACCTCGAATTTATATCGACACACATACATAAAAATAAGCACATACACAAAAGTTATTAAGATAAATCAAATTATATATACTACGGATGATAAACAAGAAAGTTTAGAAAATATAGGGGGTTAAAATGATATTTTACAACCTTCAAAATCAAGATGAGTTAAAGTGATATTTTAAAAGTAGAGAAGTGGAAATTTTCATTTTAAGTATAGGAGTGCAAATTGTCTTTCAGAAAAGTCTATAAGGTCTAACTTACATTTTAAAAAGTAAAGGGATTAAAATTATTATTTTCCAAAATAAAAAGGTATAAATGGTCAACTAAACATCCACAAACATTAGTTAATTTCCAAAAATTACCAATTACTAGGGTAAAAACCCAAAAATTACTCATACACGGTTTTCAGCCCCTAAACTTTGATCACATCTGTGAAAAAAAAAACAATCATATTCGATTAGTGACTGGTTACCAACGTAAAAACCCAAAAATTATCGATTATCGGAGTAAAAACTCATGTTGCAGGTTTTTGGGACTTAATTGTAAACAACTACAAGTATTTTGGGCTTAATTGCAAGAAAAAAAAAAGTTAATCGATTATGATGCCAAAATGTAAGAACTTTCCGGATGTTTCCCTTTTTTTAATGTCTCGACTATTAAAAACGGAATTGTGAAAATCGATCCAACCGAATTATAATTTTGTTGGTTCGGATTGGATCTTAATTTAATTTGGACTTTTTGGATCAATGTTTTGAAAATCAAAATCAATTTGTATTAACTTTATTGAATCTGATCCAACCTATGCATTCAAAGGAACGCCCTTAGGTTCATTACCAACTTGGCTCTAGGGTTTGTTAATTGTAAATATTAAACTAATGTTAAAGTTTGTTAATTATTGGTAGTAAAATATACTAGGTTTTGTTAATTGGAATTTTTGTTAAGGTTTGTTAATTGATAATTTGGTTTTTTTGTTAGGAATGTTAAGTGCGGCACTAGGTTTTAGTTATATATCCGCCAAAAGCATATGGATGGTCAGATGTCAATTACAAAAGACCTTGCAGCTTGGGTCAACATCAGATCGAGGATCAGTTTACTCTTTCATTCTCGGGGGTATTTAAGTGAAACTCATAGAAGGAAAGGACACACCACAATACCCTCATTTCTTTAGAAAAGAAGCTCCGAGTTCTTGAGGGTTATGGAAGACAGTAGTGCAGTAGTAAGAATGGTGATGCTTCTAGTTTTCGTTGGGTGGCTCATGATGTGGGTTATGCTGCCAACGGAAACCTACAAATTTTCATGGAAACCTACCCTTGCAAATCGACTAGACTCAACTTATTTTCGTGAACAAGGTTTCCTTATATATATACACGTTTATCTTTGTGTTTGATTGTCATGTTTTGATGTTTGTCTTGTCCGTAGTCATGATTCTTTTGTTGTGAAAATTAAGTACTGTTTCCGATTCATAAATGATTTACCAAAGAAGTATGTTGTTTTTTTTTTTCAGGGACAAATCTTGTGCTTTTCTCATTTCCCATAATGTTCTTGGCATCGTTGGGCTGTATTTATCTCCATTTTCAGAAGAAATCTCGTTCTGAAAGGTTGATATATTATATCTCTCGAATGCAATACAAGATAGTATTAATTTCACAACCCCGGAGTACTGCATCCCAACAGTTCTTGCTAGCTAGTATCTATGTTGTTTTTCGTTTAAAAAGTGCATATACTTGAATACTGATCAAACAAGTAATTAATATATATTTGCTGCACTGCTGCAGTAATCTGACTAGAAGAAGATGGTTGGACGTATGGAAACGTCCATTAATTGTGACGAATCTTCTAGGGATTGTGAGCGTGATGGAGCTGGTGTTTGCAGCCATGTTCATCGCTCTACTAGGATGGTCTCTATACAATTACTTGCACGTCAGCTTCACCCATCCTCATATGCATCATGGAGTTGTGCAGAAAGAGTAAGTTGTCGATCTTCGCCATGATTGGCCAGATTACTTTTATCGGCATTTAGTAATAAGTTGTGTACTTGGTTAGGGTGTATATATTGTGGGCCTTCAAATAAGCAAATTGAAAAAGCTTTTTGCATCGGGTAAAAGAAACACTTATTCTAATTAGTAGCTAGAACAATTAAAAGTTTTACCGTTCTGTGAACAACAATGACATGCAGGTGGCTGACCAAGTTCCGTAGTGTATCGTTGAGACTTGGGTATATCGGGAACATAACGTGGGCGTTTCTATTCTTTCCGGTGACTCGAGGATCATCGATCTTAAGACTCGTTGGGCTTACATCTGAGTCAAGTGTCAGGTATCACATATGGCTTGGGCATTTATCCATGGTTCTCTTTACTGCACATAGCGTTGGGTTTATTATCTACTGGGCTTTCACTGATGAAATGGCTTTAGTACGTACTTCTCTTTCAATTCCTTTCGCTTCTTAATTTGTTTTCGGGTGAATTAGTTTATAGATTATATATTATCTATATAGATTGATTTAGATTATATTTTAACATCAACCACAGTGACCCGTTATTCCGTTAACAAATATTTTAAATTAAAAACTGCTTTATTCGTAGTTCAAGAATCAAGGGGGGGGGGGGGGGGGGGGGGGGGGGGGGGGGGGGGGGAGAGTGCCTTAGTTAAAGGTAGCTAACTGATGTCCACTCTGCATCAATAATTTTTGGACGAGTTTTAGTTTTGGACCTCTGAAAACCTATCCATATATTGGGTGCTCTAATTATTGTGAAGTGGGTGTTTGGAATTATATAAATGTCTAAAGAATATCGTTTTTCGTTTTTTTCTTTTACCAAATTTCATTTCTGCGTGTGTTATGATAACCACCGGGTGATTTATAGCGACATTTTCTATCAACTACAGACCAATAGTAAAAGTGAAAAATGTAATTATGTTAAGACAATGCATTGAAATTAAAGAAGATATCGATCATATAATCACCGTTGATCGTAAATAAAGCTACTAATTATAATACTTTATAATATTCACTAAAACATACGGAGATAATGACATGATTTACACAAACAACACACCAGAACAAAAACTTATTATAAACCCTGCTTGCATGCAATCAAATTTTTAAATATTTGCTGATTTTTGTTTTGAACAGAAAATACTCGATGAACTTAGAACCTTTACAATTTTACTTATGAAACTTGATTATACTGAATATTTATAACATGAAAACAAAACAAAAAGAAAATGAGGATTTAATATTAACACTAGGCCGGGGTGAACATTGTACATACGTTAATTATTTTTTTTCAAACCGTATACCATATCAACTAAAATATTTTCCTTGCTCTTGTATTGCTCAAAATCTGCCCTACAATGAACTAATGACTTTATCAACTATATATACAAAATATTGATGTTCAATGATTTGAGTTGAAAGTTCATGTATTAGTTCTAATGACTCAATATCACCCTTATCCAGATGTATTTTCTTGAAAATTCTTATTTTATTATTTTCTCAACAAACAACAAATTAATTCCTAACTTAGAAACTATAGCTCTCACACAAAGCCTCCTCAAACACATGTTCTCATTTTTATTTTTATTTTTGAACAACAAAAAGTATATTAAAATGCTAGAAGTAGCTAGAAATTACAAGATTTTTTTTGACATGCGCAGGCAAATACACCAATCATTCCAAGTAATTAAAGCACCTTTTCTAGATCTAATTTTGAGCCATTTAAAAGTCATAATCTTCGCTTCACTAGCCAAATCAGCACTATATCTCACCACCCCCATTGAAAATGTGGTTGTTTTTGTAATTCCAAAGAGCATAGGCAAAAGTCATGAGCACCACAGACACTACAAGGAAAACGATCATTAGCGGCGACAAAAGTCGCGGGTAATAGTAATAGCGGCGCCGCGTCACCGGTAATAAGTCGCCGCTAGTACTTCGTCGCTATTGATCAACTTGTCGCCGCTAATAACCATGTCGCCGCTAATGAGGTCTGTCGCCGCTAATAACGAAGTCGCCGGTAATAACTCTGTCGCCGGTAATAACAATTTTTATTTTTTTTAATTAACGATTTTGGTTGCCGGTAATAATGTCATCGGTAATTACATAACAACACTCGATTAAATATAAAAAACAATAGTGTCGACGTTAATTACAAAACAAACATCCGATTCACATATGGCAATTTTCACATAATTTTCACATACAAATACCAAATTCACAAAAAAATTGAAATAATAGAACCTGTAGTGGCGGAAATCAACGGATATGTAGCCGGAAAAATTGGTTTTCACCCGAAAATACTCTCACCCGTAAACCCAAAGACAACACCACCAAAAACACTGAAATTGAACAATTTCTTGCAATTTAATCATCAAATGCAGTTAGAAATCGAAATTAACATACAAATACAAAGAGATACAAGAAATTCAACTTACCTTTCTTCAATAGATGGAACTAGAATCGGTCCCAAGAAGCCCTAACCACCCTTGATCCCTAATCTCACACAATGTGGGGAGATATGTTGTTGGAATCAACTAATTGAACACAAAATCGAGGGAACTTGGAAAAGGCGCACCGTATAGCAGCAGCAAACAGAATGCAAAAAGGGAAGAAATAAGCAATTTGCGTGCGTTTTTTTTTATCTGCGAGAGCCTTTAGCGGCGACAGCTAGGGCTTTACCGGCGACTAAAGTCAATAGCGGCGACAATCTGGAGGGAAGGGTACCACGTCATTTTTTAGGTAACTATTAGCGGCGACGTTTTAGACCTTTAGCGGCGACACAAATGTCGCCGGTATTAGGTTTGTGCGGATAAGGGACCCCAACCGTTGGATTAGATACTTGATCGAACGGCTCAGAGCTAACAGAGGGGGAAAACACGGATTCGGGTGATAAGCCCTTTAGCGGCGACACTATTACCGGCGACATGGACTTTTAGCGGCGACAAATGATAGTCGCCGCTAAAAGTCCATGTCGCCGGTAATAGTGTCCCGCTAAAGGCTTATATTCTTGTAGTGAGAGATTACATCCTTGATTCTAGCCTTCATAGTGTAGGTAGAGACAGGTTGAATCAGATGAATTGAACCTCTAACAATTAGGATATCAGTCCACCACTTGTTAAGAATAGCACGAATCTCTTGAGCCATAGAGCATTCCAAAAACAAATGAATCTTAATTTCATTCTTGTTGTTACAAAGAGGGCAAATGATCGCGTTCACAACAACACCGATTATGTTTAAGTTTGAGCGAGTAGGCAACCTTTCAAGTTGAATCCTCCAAACCAACACATTTGCTTTAGCTGGTGCAAAACGGTTCCATCCTGTTTCAAACTGATTGCTCTCCAAAGATAAGTTATCAATAAACTTTCCTGACGATGCCACCATTAATTGACCCTATGGTTCCAATGTCCACCTCCATCTGTTATCCTGGAACTAAAAAAAGTTGTTAAAGTCAACTTATACTTATCCATAATCATGTGCAAGTGGATGATGGTGCTCCAAGTTCCACCTTTTTTTGCGACCGATCTAGTGCATTCGATGCTACCATCGGCTCCATGTAACGCAACAATAACCTCTTTCCAAGTGTCTCCTTTTCTCAGTACTAAAACGCCACCACCATTTCGATAATAAAGAAATATTGTAAGTATAAGCATTAAGGCTTCCGTTACCAAACCCCCCCTTGTCCTTAGAGTTTAAGACCTTCTTCTATGCAATCCAAGAAATATTTTTGTTGTCGCTAAAGCCACCCCAAAAGAAACACATGCTCTCATTAGTATTTGAAAAACTAAATAAAGGCTCTCATATTATTTATTGACTCATCAATAGGCATAGTTTCAAATTGTAGTTGTATGTTAGGTTATTTACTTTAACCAATAACTAATATTTTTTATGTTTACTGGTCAAATAAATACAAAAAAATAATTAAATATGTACAAAACCATACGGTAGTTAACCTCACAAGTAATTCTCTCTTAATTTTAATTATACATAATATCATATGATTTACCGCTAATTAACAACACTTATATAGTTAAGCATTCCAATCGATCTTCAAAGATATCATTTGAAATTGGAGGTGGGTTTTATATAACAAAACAAAAATGTATAAAAACCTAAGTCGAAAGATGTAAAATCCATATATCATTTTTTCGTACTTGAATAAAATCAAAGAACCGGACAAAACAAAACAAAACAACCACCTGTTTGGTTTTTAAAAATGAAAAACCGAAATATTTCATTCGATTTCGATATTAGTCAAAAATCCAGAACAAAATACTCAACCCTTTTAAACTCTTGAGGTGTTTTTTCTAAATAGTTATTTGATATTTTGTTTTTAACTAAATAGTTATTTGACCACATGTCCTTTGCGTTCTTTTTTAACAAAGCTAAAAGTGTATTCGAGTTGCATAACTAATTATTTGGATCGAAAATAAGTTTAAAATTTGAAGACTTGCTTGGACAATACTTGTAGCATGTTAACACAGTTGTCATTTCACTCTTTAATACGATTACGATCAAAGCTTTAAACTTGCAATTTTTTGGCCATATATGCAGATGCTAGAATGGAGTAGAACTTACATTTCAAATGTAGCCGGAGAGATTGCTTTTGTAATTGCTTTGATTATGTGGGTGACAAGCATCACTCGGGTAAGGCGAAAGATGTTCGAGCTTTTCTTCTACACACACCAAACCTACGTTCTCTACCTCTTCTTCTACATCATCCATGTCGGGGTAGCCTATTTCTGCTTGATTCTTCCCGGAATTTTCCTCTTCCTTATCGATAGGTACTTGAGATTCTTGCAATCACGGACAAATGTAAGGCTTATCGCTGCCCGCCTCTTGCCTTGTGACACACTTGAACTTAACTTCTCCAAGATTGCTGGTAAGATTGTGCCCAAAATCTTTAGGGTAATTAGTTTGGTCTACAAATGGGAAAGTACTTTTGTTTATGTTCGATAAAAAGCTGATAAATTATGTCAAATATGTTGCAGGATTAGAGTATCATCCAGCAAGCTTCTTGTTCGTAAATGTGCCATTAATCTCCAAGTTGCAGTGGCATTCATATACAGTGACTTCCAATGCTAACATGGAGCCTGAAATGCTCAGCATTGTGATCAAGTGTCAAGGAACTTGGTCTCACAAACTTTACCAAGAGCTTTCTGGTTCTGCTATCGAACGTCTTCAAGTCTCTGTTGAAGGACCCTATGGACCTACTTCACCACATTTTCTAAGGTTATATACTCCATTTTAAATTGTTTGACCTACTAATTAAATTTAACCAGAATTTTGATTTTAATGTTAAATTGACTGAAAGTCTAATGCTTGCTTGTAGTTTTTTAATTCGGTGTTAGAATCTTGACATTCAAACATTTGGGTTAATTTGTAGTTATGAGAATTTAGTATTGATCAGTGGAGGCAGCGGCATCACCCCATTCATCTCTATAATTCGCGAGCTTACTTTCCAAAAGGCACGACAAGAACAACAACCTGATAAAAATCACAAGATCCCAACAAGTGTTCTCCTCATTTGTGTCTTCAAAAACTCTGCAGAACTCTCGATGCTTGACCTCTTGATTCCATTAACATCAACCAGTACGCCTTCAGATCTTTCCCAAATAAACCTTCAAATACACGCCTACATCACTAGAGAAGTCGAGCAGCCACAGACCCTTGAAAACATCAAGAAACCTCTTCAAACCATATGGTTCAAACCAAATGTCTCCGACTCTCCTGTTTCACCACAACTTGGACCTGACAGTTGGTTATGGCTATGTGCGATTATCTCATCCTCTTTTATCATGTTTTTGATTTTATTGGGGTTTGTCACCAGATACCACATCTACCCTAAAGATGACATTGAAGGTGATAAGGTCTACAATTACACATTCAAAACGCTATGGGACATGTTCTTCGTCTGTGTTAGTGTTTTCTTGGCTACTAGTTTCATGTATCTGTGGCAAAAGAAGGAGAACGACAAAAAAGAAGGGATGAAAGTTCAAAACTTTGAGGTCGGTGAAGTTGGTGAGATCGAAAGGTTTGATCGTCAGTCTGTTGTTGAAACTACTGAGGTTCATTTTGGCCATAGGCCTGATTTAAAGAGTAGGTTATTGATTACCTTTGCGCTGATTAAACAAATAAATTAATAGAGAAAATAATTGTTGTTGTTAGTCTTAAAGATTGGTGTTTCCGTTGATGAATTGCAGGGATGCTAATGGAGAAGAATAAGAAAGAGGCAGATGTGGGCGTTTTGGTCAGTGGACCAGGAAAATTGAGACGTGAAGTTGCCAAGATATGTTCATCAAAGATGGCTAAGAATCTTCATATGGAGTCCATGAGCTTTAACTGGTGATGATAAAGAAGAATGTGAATTATAACAATGAATAAATAAGAAAGTGTGAGCGTGGATTGATCAAGAAAGGGTCTTTTTCGGCTCTTTATGATTCCTGTAATATATATCTAATGTCATGTGTTACTTACTTTGTTTGATTTCATTGGTTTTAATTCAATATTAATCCCAAGTTGAAGGAATATACTTATTTTTGTCCATATTAATGTAGTTGTTGATGTGAAAGCTTAAAACAAAACATGCATGAGTTATATCCTTATCTTAATAAACGAATCATTTTGCATGGGTGATATGGACTTTGTCCGTAATAACCTAAAGAAGGAACACACCATTATTTTTGTTCTCTTATTGGCATTTGCATGGGTGATATGGACCTTCAGGAACGGAGTTGTTTTTCACCGCAAAACGAAGAACACCACTATTCTTGTTAGCGAGGTTAAGGGTCACGCCTTCCATTGGCTTAAAATTAGAGCTAAGAGAGGATGTATGTTAAATTGGGATAACAAGTGTTTAGATTCGAAGGATGAATGTCTTCATATTTTATAATCCTAGCTTCTCGTTAGCTTTATCCTCATAATAAAATCTTTCATGTTGTTCAAAAAAATAAATAAATAAAGGAATCATTTTGTCCATATGTCACTTCCACAATCCATTTTCCATCCAAAGTGAAATTACATTCATACCCTTCTTGCATTCAACTTTAACTTTGAATCCATATCTGTATAAATTAACAAACAATATAATTTTCTTTTTGAAAATATGTTTTTATAGCCTTTCTTTTGATAGCATTTAAAAGATTTTAAACCAAACTCTATTTTCAATATATTAATATTGCTTAGAACATCGGATAACATTCAACAAACAATTCCAATCTACATATAAACACTTTTATCAAAACTATAATAAGACATATACATTTTAATATATATGATTATTAAGGGTTTATTTTGGTAGCCATTAAAAACATTCTGAATATATTTAAATTTTCAATTTTTAATATATGTTCCTGATTTCTCTCCGTTCAGTTTTTTCCTCTCGTTACACAGTCAATTCCAAATTGGTAATGGATCATAAAATAAGTATATATGTTTCCTTATTTGAAACAATTCAAAAATTGAATCGACTATCTTTCTCTCTTTCAAACTTCTTTCATCATTCTTTCTAAAACCCTAACTTCATTGGTTATGACTCTGCAATCCCCCCATATATCCAACACACAAAGACATACGCACCACCAAGAGCTTAGTTTTTTTGGAACAACACCAAGAGCTTAGTCTAATATGAAGGGTGTGCTCTATTTCAAAAATATCATTCAGGCTTTGAAGGAAAATCAGATCTGAGAAGAGCTTAATTGAAATCCTCTTTTTTAATGCTCTATCCTTTTCTTCCAGACAGACGCATTTGTTAAAAATGTTTAAAAAAAATATATTAGTAATTCGAATCATCTTTAGTGAAACTAGAGGTTTTGAAAAGTTAGAGCAAAACCCACATGTATTTCTATTTCTTATTATCTTAAGCTCTTATTCTAAATCTAATTGATGCCTACTTTAGCTTTATGTTTTCGTAAATCCTCTTAAGTACGTCCAAGTTTTCAAGTTTAAGTGCTAAAAACTTTGTGTTGGTAATTTGATTATTGGGGCAATTTTAGGAGTTTTGTGTTTAAGTAAGGGGTATTTGATCACAAGTCTAGAGAAAGAGCATGATTATAACTCTTACAGTTAGAGCTCTTATTCCTATAGTTTTGACATTTGATGTTGTTGTTGAGGTATGATGCTAATAGGTTCTCATTTTCTGCTGATATATTCAGCTATATATTATTTGTTGATTGTTAAGCTCTTTAATATATCTTTAAACAAGAGTTGATGCAAACAAAATTTAGTTTTGTTGGGAGGGTGAGGTATAGCTGTAAATTTAATCCATAAAATATGCATTTCAATTTCAAAATCTAAAGTTTCTTCATTCATGGTTTGAGACATCCGGTGTTCTGTTTGTACTAATCTTATTTCTTTTCAATTTGTTAGATTTCTACACGTTGGTTTTCCAGACTCCCTTGGCATTAGAAAATAAATTCCTTAACTGGAGGACACCATAAACTTTCTAATCTCAACATCGGATAAGTATGTTTCCTTTTCTTCTAATTCCCTATTTTATGTGTGTTCTAATCAACCTATGTTGTTGTTTTTAAGGGTGAATTTATGCTTCTATCATTTGTTTGAGATTGGAAAGATTAAACAAGGAAGTAGCTTTTGTGTTAAACCAGACTATTGCTTCCAAATACATGCTTAAGGACATTTCTACACTAGAAAAAATGAGAGTACAATGTAACTTATAACATTGTCATATGATTATGATAAAGAGAAATTACAAGGGTTCTCAATGAAAAGCATAAAGACTACAAAAAATAAAGCGGATATAAATACTAGCTAGACAAAAACCTAATGGGCTAAAGGCTAAAGGGCCCATAAACAAGTGGGCTAATAATATATAGGCTAACATCCCCCCTCAAACTCACAATGCCACATCAATAAGCATTGAGAGTTTGTCACACAAGAACCGAAACCGAGAAGCCGATAGAGCCTTCGTAAAAATATCCCCAAGCTGAAAGGTTGATGAAACAAACGGAAGCGATATGGTCCCGAGCTGTAGGTGATGACGGGTAAAATGACAATAATCTCAATGTGCTTCGTCCGCTCATGAAAAAAGAATTCCTCGCAATTTGTATCACACTTTTGTTATCACAATGCAAGGGAGTAGATGAAGAAATGTGACTCTCATATCCGCAAGCACGATATTTAGCCTCCATGGAAGATCTAGAAACAACGTCCTATTTCTTGCTCTTCCATGAAATGAGAGACTCTCCAAGAAATACGCAAAATCCGGTGGTGGATTTACGATCATCACGATCGCCATCCCAATCAGCATCACTATAGGAACGTAACTCAAGAGAAGACGTCGAGGGAAACAAAAGGGTCTGAAATTGAGTGCCACGAAGATATCTCAGAATACGGAGAACAGCTCCCCAATAAACAGATGTAGGAGCAGTAACAAACTAACTGAAAAGATGAACAACATGAGCAAAATTTGGACGAGTAACTGTGAGATAGACCAAACTTCCCACAACAGTACGATAAAGATTCTGATCAGACAAAAGAACCCCATCAGTAGGAGAGTACAGTGCATTGGTTTCAAGAGGAGTATCAACAGTCTGATTGTCAGAGAGGCCCGTCCGTGTAAACAAGTCAGATATATATATTTAGTCTGAGAAATAAGATACCCTTTCTTAGATTGAGCTACCTCAATACCTAAGAAAATAACGCAACAAGCCCAAATCCTTCATAGCAAATCGATGAGCTAGATCATGCTTCAAAGACTCAATACCACCATGGTCATCACCAGTAATAATCTTGTACACCCAACGACAACATGTCGTATGTTTCCCAGAAGGAAGAGAAATCAAATCCCATGTATGAGTCTGATGAAGAGCAGTGAGTTCCTCACCCATAGCATTCTGCCAAAGAGGATCTAAAACAGCTTCTCTATATGATTCAGGTTCAGACAGATGATGGATGCTCGTTATAAATGAAGCAAATGGTAATGAGTATGTGGATTAAGCAAAATATGGAAGCTTGATGGGCTTGACAGGACGAGTAGATCTCCTGAGGGATGGTGATGGAGGTGGATCTTCAATTTCAACAGTCGGAGGAGCAGACTCAGGAACAGGGGGAGTCGAGGAACTCTCTGAAGAAGTGGGTGTGTCATGAGCTGAAGGATCAGGTGGCATAGATGGGTCTCGAGCCTCTATCTCTTCATCAAAAGGATCAATATGCAGAAGATCAGACTTCGTTACATTGTGGGCTATAGCAGGAATCAAGTAGAAAGGAATATGTCCCAAAAAAATGACATGTCGGGAAACATATAACTTCTGAATCACAGGATCATAGCAACGGTATCCTTTCTGTCCAACAACATACCCCAAAAATACACAAATAGCATATCTCAGCCCCAACTTGTTCCTCTCAACATGAGGACGAAGAACAAAACAAGTACATCCAAAAACTCGTAAGGAAGAGTAATGTGGTAGATGACCATATAGCTTCTCAAAAGCAGACATTCCTGAATTCAATGAAGTAGGGATACGATTAATCACATTAACAACAGTTAGGACTGCTTCTCCCCAAAAGGCACTAGAGACCTGCGCAGACAGGAGCAATGAGCGGGCAATCTTAACAATATGACGTTGTTTTCGTTCTACCACGCCGTTTTGTTGAGGAGTTTCAGTACACGATGACTAGTGTATGGTACCATCAGAAGCAAGTAACTGAGTAAAATCATTAGAGCGATATTCACTCTTAAGTCACACCTGAAGCACTTAATCACAGCCGAATGTTGAGTTTCAATAAGAGCTCTAAAATTGTTGTAAATACCAATGAAATCAAATTTGCGTTTCATAAGATAAACCCATGTATATCGAGTATAATAATCTATAAAAGATACATAATAGGTTGACCCACCCTTTGTGGATACTGGTGCAGGACCCCACACATCAGAATGCATAATGTCAAAAGGAGCAGTAGAACAAGACATACTTTTATTAAAAGGTAAAGCAGAGAATTTTGTCAGTTTACAATCATTGCAATCAGAAATATCACAAGTGTTCAAATGACCCAAAACACCACTAGATGCTAGAAAAATCAAACGTGATACAGACACATGTCCCAAACGAGAATGCCAAAGATAAAACTCAGACGACAAATGACTCAAACGAAAAGAAGACAAATCAATGTTGGAGGCAGCAACAACAGATAGTTTTAGAACCTCCAAGACATATAGTTCCCCCATCCTACGGCCAATCCCAATCACCTTCTGGGTGTGTTGATCCTGTATAACACAGACAGAATCAGAAAAGAACACCCATTTACTAGATTTACATAACTGAATGACTGACGCAAGATTCAAAGTAAGTTTAGGAATGTAATAAACATCAGGGAGAGTGATATGAGAAATAGAGACAGACCCAACACCTCAACTATCATAGATGTATCACTAGCAGACATAACAGAAATAGATGACATATGTGACAAAGAAGTAAATGATGACAAA